AACATAATAGGAATACAGTTACATAACCAAAGCAGATCTATAATTACCAGCCATCTCCAGTGAAGCCAAGAAAACCAGTTAGGCACCCCAGGCATTTGTGAAAATTTGTCTATGATATGATGGATATTGTCCAACTGTACTTGAACAGTCTGAGAGAAATCAGACAAAGTAAAACAACCCATTCCTGGGAACTGTTCGAATCCCATATGTTCTTTTAACAGTAGATAGTCTGTAGTTGTAAGATTTTGGAGTGCTACAACTTGCACTTCTCCTAATTCTTGGTTGAGTTCCAGCAGTATAGATCCAGTCAAATTTGTTTTTTTACTGCATGCACAGGCCAGCTTAGATATCTCCTTCTTCATTCCAATGGCAAGTCCAGGAACCAGTGGGATGAATGTAGCCACAACTGTAGCATTGCCTGGATCCCTGTTGAGGTTTTTTGATGATAATCTTCTGGTATGACTCTTCCACAGAGTGCTGATGTTGGAAGTTCTTCTTCATATTGTATCTTAGTTCATTTTCTGGGTAGCCAAATTAGGCTTTGATCCTCTGTATAAACACAAACAAACCCTTTGCCCACACTTTGATATGCCCTTTATACCATTGTGTAGAACTCACTGGAGGTCACCACAAAGGAACTGCTTTTTTTCTTTTTTAAGAGAAAGGAATATTTTCAGAAAAATGTACCTCCATAGCCGATTATCTGACACTCTTTAAGTGATCAAAATTAAGGATATTTAAAGCATGCATTAATCGTTGATTTACAGTTAGTTTTATCCTATCAGGGAGTAATCCCCCTTTTCTTTCTTTTTTTTTTGTTATATTTAGTCTACACTTACATGAAGAATATTATGTTTACTAGGCTCTCCCCTATACCAGGTCCCCGCTATAAACAGCTTTACAGTCACTGTCCATCAGCATAGCAAAATGTTGTAGAATCACTACTTGTCTTCTCTGTGATGTACAGCCCTCCCCTTTCTCCCACCCCCCCATGCATACTAATCTTAATACCCGCCTTCTTCTTCCCACCCCTTATCCCTTCCTACCCACCCATCCTCCCCACCCCTTTTCCCTTTGGTACCTGTTATTCCATTCTTGGGTTCTGTGATACCACTGCTGTTTTGTTCCTTCAGTTTTTCCTTTGTTCTTATACTGCACAGATGAGTGAAATTATTTGGTATTTCTCTTTCTCTGCTTGGCTTATTTCACTGACCATAATACCCTCCAGCTCCATCCATGTTGCTGCAAATGGTAAGATTTTCCCTCTTCTTATGGCTGAGCAGTATTCCATTGTGTATATGTACCACTTCTTCTTTATCCATTCATCTACCAATGGGCATTTAGGTTTTTTCCAATTCTTGGCTATTGTAAATAGTGCTGTGATAAACAGGGGTGCATCTGTCTTTCTCAAACTTGATCGTTCCATTCTTACAGTCAATTCCTAGGAGTATAATTCCTAGGTCAAATGGTAAGTCTGTTTTGAGCATTTTGATGAACCATGAACCCCCCTACTACTTTCCACAATGGTTGAACAAATTTACATTCCCACCAGCAGTGTAGGAGAGTTCCCCTTTCCCCACAACCTTGCCAACATTTGTTGTTGTTTGTCTTTTGGATGGCAGCCATCCTTACTGGTGTGAGGTGATACCTCATTGAAGTTTATTTTGCATTTCTCTGATAATTAGTGATGTGGAGCATCTTTGCAACTTTTCATGTGTCTTTTGGCCATCTTTATTTCTTTTTTGGATAACTATTCAGTTCCTCACCCCATTTTTTAATTGGATTCTTTGATTTTTGTTTGTTGAGGTGTGTGAGCTCTTTATATATTTTGGGTGTCAAGCCTTTATCGGATCTGTCATTTACAAATATATTCTCCCATGCTGTAGGGTTCCTTTTTGTTGTATTGATGGTGTCCTTTGCGGTACAGAAGCTTTTCAGCTTAATATAGTCCCACTTGTTCATTTTTGCTGTTGTTTTCCTTGCCCAGGTAGATATGTTCCAGAAGAGGTCACTCATGTTTATGGCTAAGAGGTTTTTGACTATGTTTTTTTTCCACAAGTTTAATGGTTTCATGACTTACATTCAGGTCTTTGATCCATTATGAATTTACTTTTGTATATGGGGTTAGACAATGGTCCAATTTCATTCTCCTACATGTAGCTCTCCAGTTTTGCCAGCACCATCTGCTGAAGAGACTGTCATTTCGCCATTGTATGTCCATGGCACTTTTATGAAATATTAATTGACCATATATGTGTGGGTTAATGTCTGGAGTCTCTAGTCTGTTCCACTGGTCTGTGGCTTTGTTCTTGTGCCAGTACCAAATTGTCTTGATTACTATGGCTTTATAGTAGAGCTTGAAGTTGGGGAGTGAGATTCCACCCTACTTTATTCTTCTTTCTCAGAATTGCTTTGGCTATTCAGGGTCTTTGGTGTTTCCATATGAATTTTGAATTATTTGTTCCAGTTCATTGAAGAATGTTGCTGGTAATTTGAGAGGGATTGCATCAAATCTGTATATTGCTTTGGGCAGGATGGCCATTTTGACGATATTCATTCTTCCT